CCTGTGAGTTTGGGATGAAAATGATTGAAGAGCTGCGTTACGCCACTATGCAAGCCAAGCCGAGGAAAGAGGAATAGAAGCGTTCTGCCGTTTTTCCGCTTTTCACTGGTGTCGCGAATAAGTCTTCGCTCGCCAGCCTTCCTTCCACCTTCATAAACCATTTAGCAGCACGCCTCCTTGCCCGTTGGCAGTCACTATGTTGCAGATTTTATGTTTATATTTTTTGGTTTCTTTTCTGATTTTTTTCGGTTTTTATTTATTTATTTCTTCCGCCCGCTTGTAAAAGATCTATCCGTTTTCATAAGAATAATGAGAACCCCATTAACTTGCCGACGATTGACTGAGGAAATAAATTGATGAAATTGATGACAAATACAATTTACTTATTTCTTTCTTTATATCTCTTTTCAGTATAAAGAACTTGACCGTATCAAGCAGCAAATAAAAGAAAAAGGAGAATACGTAGGCTCTTTAAGGCTCATTTCTCCGAATCAAGACAAATATGCGCGTTCGCCATGGACAGGAAAGGGTGGTAATCACTTGGTGCCAGGTCCGAACTATAAGGTGGGTGCATTAGGACCTCCCATCCGAGCTCCTGAGCTTCTGGCGCGTCACCAAAGACGTGTGTGGCCTGGCGTTGTACAGAAGGAACACAATTCGGCCTCTGTTGATCAATGATGGCCTCTTCTGGATGAGTGCTGCCTTCAAGCGGTCCATTTGTTGGCAGAAGAGGGTCGAATTGAGCGTTTGGACATAGGGGAGCAGCTCATAGTAGAGGGTTATTTGCCAATCCCACCTGTTGTATCTTTGACATCGAAACTACCGGAACGGAACGTAGTCCGGAAGCTATTTCTGTACTAAATTTTATGTATGAGAATCAAATTAAAAATAAAAATGTTTCGAATAGATCAGCAGCAAGTTCACTTTCCGGAAGAAAAAGTGTTCCACATTATAATTTGGGCCCAAAGCTACTATTGTATCAAAATTCATGTAAATCAAAAGATACAAAAATAAACTCGATTTTTTCGATTAGTTCAAGTCCAGGTCAGCTTGCCAGAAAATTTTCGCTTTCCAAGTTTTAGGACTCTTCGATCAGGTTGTGGACTGATCCGTCAATCAAACAGTTCTATAATGTCTTTTTTTTTTAAGAAGAAACTATATTTATTCCTATGATTTCTCTCATACCATCAAAGTACTGCTTCGAAGCCAAGAGAGTACAGTTTCTCTTCAAAGTATGCTTCGCAATATCCATAAATAAGCCTTAAGATGGAAGTCTTAAGACAGTAGGAGTAGACTTGAGAGAAAGCATGGCCAGTTGTATGTGGCATGCTCCAGAGTAAGCTGGTGGTTCGAGCACCTCACGGAAAAATAAAAAAAAATTTTTTACAAAGAAATACTGCGATAGATATAGAGCTCCGCTCTCGTAAAAATATATCAGAATTTTATTTTATTTTCATGTTTACTTAGTCTTTACATCCTAACAATAAAACAAACATTTTATCTTTTATTTTTATATTAATATAAATGAAATATCTTAAAAACCAACTTAAAGCTCATTTTCATATTCCATACAGTCAAAGTCGTAGCTAAACTCTCGTGAAATGATTTTCGGCTTTGATGCTTTGTCAACAGATGAAAACACCTACAGCTTTTTCCAAGCTGTCTCTAAACAGAACAGTCGATGGATATTTATGAGAAGCTTTTTTATTTCGTGTCAGAAATAAGCTTGGGGGCTGATATTCCCTCTTTAGTGGCGATCGCTTACTTAATTTTTTATTTAAATAAAATTTTTAGATGAGAGTTTGAACCCCGACCTTTCGAACGGCACTACGCAATGCTAACCACTCGACTAGCGCGGCCTCGCATTTTCAAGTGCAAATATTTTGGCCAGAGAACATTTCTATATAACAAAGTTAAAGAACAAATAATTCATTTTGGTATTTAATCTCCCTTGAGCTGAATTAGTATTCGGATATTTTAAACAAATGTCGATGGAAGTCTTGAAGTCGAAAAAGTGGTCTTAAATACAAATAAAAATTATCAGTAATATATATGTATAATAAAAAAAATCTTCCAAATTTCATTTCAATTAATATAATACACACCAACCACCCCCATTGGCCACCTGAAGGTGTACAACAGATGGATCGCATCGTCTGTTCCTGCTCCTGCCTCTTCTACTGAAGACAGCATTCAAGTAAATTATAAGCCAGCAGCCTTAAGGCAGAACTGCTGTCACGCCGTTTTCAACAGGCAATTGCCTGCTAATTTAGCGAGAATATCACTTTATAAATTCTCATAAGTGCAAACGATAGCATCAGTGATGAACGTTGCACTTAAAGCATTTCCAGCGCACTTTCAAAGAGTTGCCGTTGAGGGTATATGTGGCTGACGTTGGCAAACACTTGGACGCGATAGGTAGGTAAATATTAAATATGCTATTGCATGCAGTTCAGTTGAATATGTGTGAAGGACTGCAAATGTAGAGCCATATGAGCCAACATTATTTTCTGCTCAACAGTGCAGAGAAATCTTTAGAAAATTTTACAATTTTTTTTAGATTATTTTCTAGACTCTCTATGATTTTTTTTAGATTTTCCTTTAGCTCTTAGAATTACTTAAAGTGGTTAAGCTGTAAATCTTGCATTAGAAAGAAATCGAAAATGTACAATAGATGTATGTATGTATGTATGTATGTATGTGGATGCTTGTAATTGTACACGTGCAAGCTTTGTCAGACAGACACACTTAAGTGCAAACTGAATGGGAACGAATCAGGCAACAAACGAATGAATGAATGAATGAATGAATGGCGGACGGTTGACTGACTGCATGAGAGAATGATTGAAGAAGCACACCGACATGTATATCTACGCATGGCATACATTGTTCTTGGGCTGTTGGTATGACATTGAATGGCTGGCTATTCGATATTGATGACATTGAGAAAGTGCTTAATTGCTCAACGATAAAGAAGCGATTGATCAATCGTCGGCAGCTATGCAACATACATAATGGCATAATAAAGTGTATAAGAGTGTATGTGTATCTGTGTATGTATGTTCAGTGACGCATTAAAACCTACGATGGTTCAACGTCACCCAAGCCGATGCTCAAGGCGCCACCAGTACCAGTCAGGTAGATGAGAATAGTTACTCTAACAGTTGCAGCCACAGTGACACTATTAGCAGTCCATTTTTACAATTGTATATCAAGAAGTCTTCGGTGAATTTGTTTGCATGTACATGAGATATATAAGCACTATATGAAGACATTTACTGAGAAATTTATTATTTGTTAAATACATACATTCAACGCTCTTATATTTTGCAATGTGAATATGGATTGGCATGGAATGTTGGAAATATTTCAAACGAAAAGGTCAGCGTGTCATTCTCTCTAATCTGTATGTATGTATGTATGTATGTGAATGACCTGTAGGAAATAGCCCGACCTTCTCATTTAAGCTTTTCAGGATACAGAGACCAAACTATACAAGTATAGCGTCCTGTTGCTATATGGTACGGAAGCATTGACGATGACAACATCTGATGTGTGCGCATTAAGAGTTTTCGAAAGAAGGGTCTTGCATAAGGTTATAGTCCTCTGCGAGTTGGAAACGGCAATTACCGTAACCGATGGAAAGATGCACTTGTAGTTCAGCTCAGTGACGCTAGGGCTCGAGCATGGCTAGACCAATATTGATGAAATTTTCAGATGTATTTCGTTGCGGATTTGGAATGGTTTAGAAATAAAGAAAACCATTTGCTTTTCCTGAGATAAAGTCGGAAAATCGGAAAACTCCAAACAGAACTTTCATTCCATATATTATATATATTTTTTGTGCATTAAAATTTTTATTCTTAAAATTTGTTTCTCATTTTAAATTTTTTTTTTTACTTTTTAAATCTTTTTTTATTTTTCTTTAATTTTTAAAATTTTTTAAAAAATTTTTTTTTTTTTTTAAATTTTGTAATTGCATTTTTTTTTAATCTATCAGAAATTTTTTTTGTAAAATAAGTAAAAGATGGTTAGTAAAAGATTTTTAACAAATAGATCACAAAGACCGTAGCTGGAAGTTTGTAGCATAAATCTCGAAATGCTATCTTTTTCACTATTTGTAAATTTACGCAAGGGAACACTTAAAAGAATATTTTGCTTGATTTATTTTCAGCTACTTATACATAAATTTTTATCTAAAAAAAAAAGAAAAAAAATCAAATAAAAAATATTAAAAAATAATAAATAAAAAAAATAAAAAATAAAAAATAAAAAAAAAAATTTATGATTTTCGAAAATTCAAAATTGACGAAATTGCAGACTTTTATTAACATTGTTAATGTTGCAACCGCAAAAACTCATCACCAACGTTAGTTTTAAAACGACTACTTGCTCTGATATTAACAGCACACTACAATATAAACCTTTAACATTATCTGTTAACTATTTACATAAGCTGTTAACGACCTAACATTAACGACAGCTTCTCGTTTCGGATGGAAACGCAATGAAATTTAATTTAACTGCTTTAACTATAACATTTCCAATTGTTTCAACCGAAAAGAAAGACATTTTTTGACTAAATTGAAAGTTTTGATTGGAGTGAAGTCTTATTTAAAAATATTTTATATTTTTTCAACCCTCTTCTCATCTCATTGTCATTATCATTTGCTGCTAGAAACCCAGCTATTTCCCTACAGGGTCAACAAATATTCAATATTTACGTATCAAAGCGTTTCGGCTATTTTCTTTGCTGAATTTATGTGCGAGAAGTCATTAAGTTTCACTAATTGTGGGTATAATTTACTGAAATAAGCCTGGTAACAGTAACGTAGCTTCATGTGGAAAACTCGTCAATATTTTCAAAAAAACTTATATTGTAATGGCGGTTTAAGGGCAGTTAAGGTTAACGCCTTAAGTGTAAATGATACTTTAAATAAATTAAATTTACAAGATGTGAACAAGTAGAGTATTAAAAAATTATAAAACTGTACACTTACGTTTTCTTTCTCCTCGACAAAAAGACTTACCTGAAAAAATAAAAGTTCACAGATTAGAATAGAAGAAAATATATAAATTAAAATTTACATAATTTACTGACCTACAATAATTCTCAACAGAGTTATTGAAATTATGGGCGATATGGGGCTACGTAAGCAGCATTTTAATATATGATATATTGTAAAAAATACTATATATTTGCAATACTGATTGTTGATTGCTACGTTAAAGAGCACACTCTCAATAGTGCAGACCTATTTTAAGCAATAAATCAACATTCTCGCATTCTCATTGTTAATTTCTCATCAGACGGCTACAAAATTTATGCTAAGCTCTTTCCCTTCGAAGTCAATGGAAGAAGATAAATTTCGCTGAAGCAGGCAAATAAATTTCCCTTTCAACATCCGTCTAATATGCAAAAAAAAAAAATTTAAAATTAAATAAAAACCATTAATAAATTGGAAAATCAGAGCACAATATGAAAAACAATTTATCATTTTTCTATGCTGCGGAAAGCTAACAACAACAGACAAACCGCAATACACACACACACCCAAACTTTTGCAGGCATGCAAATATTAGCTAGTGACATCACTGTGGCTTGGGCTGACTTTAAACAGGGTATGAAACACTTTGACAGTGTGTGAGTTGGTTTTTTCTTGCCTTCATACATTTTTCGCAAGTAAAATACGTACGTATTTATATCATCAAGGCAAAGTCTCATATGTCATTGTTGTAAATCAAATAATTCATAATCGATTCGCGAACCAAAGGGAATAAAAAAAAAAATAAGCCGCCACCAGCTATTATGGGGAGTCTCAACAATAAAAGTAATGAATTTACCAAATGGAAGGAGAAGTGGGTAACGCACATCGCTCCGTTGAGAGTTGGCCAATGGAAAATGATGATGATATGAAAATTGAAATTGATGAAGAAATGCGAAAAAGAAGCGTATTCAATACAAGACAAATTTTGGTCGCACGGAATATTGAATAGGCGACTATGTTTACAGTACGTTTAAAACCGCATGCCAATAGTCATTCTTCAACCTGCTAAAGGGCGAAGAAAATGCAACACAAGGAAATGGAGGCACGAAATCCTAATCGTAGGCGATGAAAAGATGTTCTATTACCCGACGATGAAAAAGTTTGAATATCCATCGCCCGCTTAAAAAAACAGCTTGCCGGCTGAGGAACTCAAACATGGCGGCGAAGAGCAGACAAGATGCAAGTATCAGCTACTTTGCAGCATATGGTCTGGAGGGTGTAAGTCTCCTCAATATCGCATATATGGTTCTATCCAGTGTATTATTAGAAAGACTAAAGCCCACATTGAACAAGCTGATTGAATTAGTTTTGCTTTAGACCTGCTATTGTATTGATGACATATTCATAATGCGACAAATCTTGAAGAAGATTTCTGTGACAGAATCGATGCACACCCCTTTTTTATCGATATTAAAACTGCCTTTGACAGCGCAGTGGTACTACATCTAGGCCGCTACGGCTGTGAGACGAATGAGTTTGACAGTGAGATCGTTTTAACATGTCCAAAAATTAACAAATTTAGTATTCAAAACTCTAAGATCGTACGCCTTTTCATTCTCCCACATAAAAAGTACAAAAGTTGCCTGATTTTTGCCCGATATCTGGGTAGGGCCCTATTAAGGAGACATCAATTGAATACTCTTTTGTGGTCGTGAAATTTTTTACTAACTACAAGAAAAAAGTAGTTTTCTCTATATTGTGTATTCCTTTCAATGAGCGGCCTTACTCTTTCGGCGTTTCTTGTACAATGAATGGGTTATTGGGATCCAGTTCTATGGCCGCGAGATCAGATGTAGAGAAATATGCGCCGTTTTGTTCGTAAACTTGTTGCCAACGAGCTGCCATCTTCATTATACCCCTCTCGTAGAAGGCTGCGTTCCTATTGCCAATTTTAACAGGCCTCTCTTGAGGACAACTTCTCACCATTAAGCGTGTTCGCATGGACAGGAAAAGATGGTAATCACTTGGTGGCAGGCCCGGACTATAAGGTGGGTGCATTACGATCTCCCATCCGGGCTCCTGGAGCGTCACCAAAGACGTGTGTGGCCTGTCGTTATCCTGATGGAAGACAATTCGGCCCTTCTTGATCAAAAATTCTCCTCTTCTGGATGAGTGCTACCTTCAAGCGGTCCATTTGCTGGCAGTAGAATACCGAATGGAACGTTTGGCCATAGGGAAGCAGCTCGTAGTAGATGATTTCTTGCCAATTCCACCAAACACACAGCAAAACCTTCCTAGTCGTCAATACGGTCTTGGCCACCGTCTGGGCCGCTCCCCGAGCTTTGTCCACGACCGTTTGCCGTCGTAAGTGACCTATTTTTCATCGCCAGTAACAATCCACTTCAGAAACGGATCGATTTTGTGGCGATTCAGCAGCGGTACAGTATCGGGCCCTTAAATTAATTTTATTTTTTCAGCTGCTTTGGCTGCTTATTCGCCTTGATCGAAGAAAAATTTTAAAATATAGCGGATTTTCTCTTTGGGAGTGTCCATCTTTGCCGAGCGCTAATAACGTACTTAGTCAATCTAACGAAAAACTGTCAAAGACAAACTTTAAGCGCGAATCAACACGTTTTCAGCGCCGTATACATGATAAAAACCGAACGAACTTTTTACTGGGCCTAATATTAGTGTTCAGAATTTTTTTTCTTGGCTAAACCCAGTTCTAAGTTGACTTACATTCTAAGTTGATATGTAGGAATGGTCCAGTCTGCCTGTCACGCCATACATAAACCTGTTGGAGTATTAACTGCGAAAAGTAACGCTTCCTACACTATAAAGACGTGCAAAAATTTACTACAAGTTCGTTAATAATTTATTACTGATAAATTGCAATTCCCAATATTTTCCATGGCAACAGCACCAAACCAAATTTCCGGGTGTCCTCGAAGGAATACAAACGCTAATGGTTTAAATTATCCGTACGTGCTTAAGTATTTATGCATGGGCACAAGGTCAGGAGGTGAAATTGAATGTGTTCGAAAGAGACTAAGCAGAAAACACCCTGTGGGGAAGAATGAAAAATCTTACCACACAAGTTGTTTGAGTGCGGAAACAACCATGAGCCTTTCCTGCAGGATCAATGTTAAGATTCACATGAGTTGTGAAAACGAAATACATGTTCAAATAAAATTAATGCCACACACAGGTAACTAGAAAATAAAACAAATGACCCGAGATAAAGACATTCACTCACACATACATCTTTACGCTGCGTCCAACAGACGCCCTGCTACGCATGCGAATGAAAATATTTACTTACTTAAGTGTTCCATGCATATGTGATTGTGTGCGTTTCAATGTCCTGCAGCATGCCACTTGCTGGGCTACGCTTTCGCGCTGAGTACTGCATTGATAGCCTTTGACTTAGCGCAAGCAAATATTCCCTTAATAGCAAAGATCATTAATTTTTAATTTTTACATTTTCTTACCGTAAACCCGAAAGAATTTTTTGTTTGCTTCACACACTGCTGCGTGCTTGGAAATTCAATCAAACGATTGATGGCGCTGCATAACTTCGGTAAGAGAAACCACTGTTGAGAATTGGATTTTGGCCCAGCGGTCGAAATAATACGATTTGGGTATTCTACTTTATTTGTAACAGCAATGCAGAGTAGAGTATAACGGTTTGGAAAATTGATAAAGATAGTTTTGAAAAAGAGAGAATCGTTATTAAATCAAAACAATAATGCCTCAGCTGAAGAAACAGGGCATAAACTGAGAGGTGGCTTTAATTTTTTCTGGACCACATAAAAATTATTGAGAGACAAGTTAGGCAAGTCAAGACTATTCTATGGTGTCATAATAATTTTGATAATAATTAATTTTGCTCAGCGCCATCGAAAGGTCCCAGTCCTAAAGCTACTTCTTACGCTATAAATAAAAACGTTACGTCAGTCGATGACCACCTCCCGGAAGAAAAATTGTTCCACAATATAATTTAAACAAAGAGTTAGCTGTGCAGACAATATTTTACCGAACAGATCGCTTCCTGATACACTTCCCAGACAACACTTTCTTATCGGGTGCATATGTCATACGCAGACGACACACTCAAAGTTTTAGGTCTCTACCAGCAGGTATTTAGGTTGTGGTTTCCAAGGTCAGTCTTCTATCACATAGAATATAACAGAAATTTAACGCTTTAAAATATAAAATTCAGCACTTATTCTCATCTGCACCGATTGAATTCAGCTTTGCAATCGGCTCGGCTCGGCTCGGCTGTCTAGCCAATCAGAACGAGACTGCGCGAAGCTAAAACGTCGAATTTACATTCAATGGAGAATCACCTCTTTGGCGACTCTGGAGTATTCTATGACATACCAAGTAAATACTAATAATTTAATTCGTTCTCTACTAGACAAGAGGGAATATTTCCGACACGAGAGGATTAACAAAAGTTCGATCAGTTGATGACTTTCAATGTGTTTTTGTTAAATCTAAAAATATCAAATCCTTTGTTATTACTTTATTAGTCTACCTTTCAAATTTTAGAACGATCGGCTCGAATGGAGACGAGAAAGCAGAAGGTAGCTGAGGATAGGTCAACCGAAATTCCACTGCCAACGCAAACAAAAATTCCTCATGTACTTCTCTTCGAGTTTTGCCTTAATTTACAGTCAAATAAAAATATTCAGTGAATACCAAATTGCGTATGAAATGATTTCATCGTCTTTAAATACTATTTCGAAGTGGTTCCGAAGCTTACAGACCAAACATTTTTCCGTAGAGTACGAGCCCTGAAAAAATCGAGCAAAATCTGACTGATGACGTCACTGTAGCTCTGGTGAAGTCCAAAATCGATTAACAGAAGATCAAGACTTTTAAAAAACTTGTTGGAAAACAGGAAGAAAGAGGATTTGCGACACTACTTTTTGCATCATGACACCGCGGCATCCCACACACTGTTGAAATACCAACCAACCTGGAGAATAGGTATAGCAACATGTGGTTTCTTGTTATTTCAAAAAGTTAAAAAAAAA